TGCACAAATATTTGCAATCGTCTGGAAAGACGTGTAAATGGGGATGAGCAGTCCTTCTCTGGTGTTGACAGCAGAGAATAGCGTGAGACTTTCCCGAAGCTGAACTTGCACAGACCTGATTCTACAGCAAGCCTTGACACGCAGCGTCGCAGCACATTTACAGATGCAAACAGCACTGCAAGAACGCACAGACAAACACCCGATCTCATGAAGGTGCGTATAAATAGTACGCCAAATAAAAACGAAAACTCGAGGTATTGATACGCAAAAATGGACTTTGGCGTGTATATGATACGCGATGGGTAGGTTTAGGGTTGTGGGGTAGATGCGTATCATACACTCTAAAAAATGCTGGGTTGTTTCAACCCAACTTTGGGTCAAATATGGACTAACCCAACTTTTGGGTTAAAAATGTAATGTAAAAATTTTACCCAACGGTTGGGTTAGTCCATATTTGACCCAAAGTTGGGTTGAAACAACCCAGCATTTTTAGAGTGTATGTAAACAAAAACTGCATATCATATGCACGCCAACAAATTTCGTATAATATGCACGCGAAAACTGCGTATTATATGCACGCCAAACACATGCGTATCATATGCACGCCAAAGTCAATTTTTTCGTACCAATACCACGAGTTTTCATTTTTATTTGGCATACTATTTATACGCATTTTCATGAGACCGGGTTCGACCAACACAAGCATGGGATTCATTGCTTCGGCCCACTTTGTTTGAGTTTGTCTTCCCACTGAAAGGCACAGGTGGGCTTTACCTGTAGGCCACACCCACACTGCCAGGAAATATCATTCACACGGTCAATATCTGCTCTCCATATGGACATTTGCCTTGTTTACATTTATTTTAAGGTAAAAGTTCAGCCAAAAATTTAAATTTTGTTGCCATTCATTCAAATAAAAGAAATACATAAATAAATAAAAAATAAAAATAAAAGGCCAAACTGCAGCAGTATGGTTCTGGAAAAAAAAAAAAAAAAAATCACATACATTTTCTCTGCATGGGAATTACATTTTAACAATAACTTACCATTAAAGACATACCTTCTGTGAGCTACAAGGTTGTTAATCGATGGTATATGCTTTTGTTGAAGCCGTCAGTCTGCATTATTTCAACAGGGTTTTTTTTCCTGCAATAGAGAATTATGAGGTGGCCGCCTCAGTTTAATTTTGTGCCGCTGTCGATATGTCACTCATATTATGCGTTCATAACCCATCCGGTCTCTTCCGAAGACAAGGTTCCATTAAACTTCTTCCTTCTGTTCCGTCCACAACAAACCCAGAGAAACGTTTCTACATGAAGCTAATATACGCGCGATTACTACACGTGATTTTCATGAAATGTGGGGTATTTTCATAACGATAAAGAATGTTTACTTGAGGAATATTAATCAGGTGTAACAATTAGCTTAGTATAAGAGGGCCCCTTTTAGCTGTCATGTTGTATTTTAATTTAATGTTCAACAGGTGTTTTTGTCAAATTTATCAGCTTTTTATAAACTTTATAATTGTCATTTTCTTCTTTTTTCCTGCAATAGAGAATTATGAGGTGGCCGCCTCAGTTTAATTTTGTGCCGCTGTCGATATGTCACTCATATTATGCGTTCATAACCCATCCGGTCTCTTCCGAAGACAAGGTTCCATTAAACTTCTTCATTCTGTTCCGTCCACAACAAACCCAGAGAAACGTTTCTACATGAAGCTAATATACGCGCGATTACTATAGTATATGGTTTGTATGTGATTTTCATGAAATGTGGGGTATTTTCATAATGATAAAGAATGTTTACTTGAGGAATATTAATCAGGTGCAACAATTAGCTTAGTATAAAAGGGCCCCTTTTAGCTGTCATGTTGTATTTTAATTTAATTTAGTTTGTTTTTGTAAAATGTATTAGCTTTTTATAAACGTTATAATTGTCATTTTCTTCAATCATCTAAATATAAAAGGCCCCCTTTTAGCTGTCATTTTTTTAATTTAATGTTCAACAGGTGTTTTTGTCAAATTTATCAGCTTTTTATAAACTTTATAATTGTCATTTTCTTCAATCATCTAATTATTAGAACACCTAAAAAAACAAAAAGCCAGTTGAAGGGTGGGTACAATGTGTGCATATGATCAGGACGGTACCAATTCCGCTTCATTTCGAGCCAGGAAAAACGCTGTTCAACTTTTTTTTTTTAAATATTCATTTGGAATTATTAAAAAACAAAATTCTGCACCAATCAGAGTGCCACAATGAGCAAAATCACATTAAAATAAATCATTAGTTCCAGAAATCTTAGTCTCTCACTACGCTCTCAACTACTTAAATATTTTCATATATGCGCACATTTTGCAATAAACATAAAATATCTTGTTTCTATATATAATACAGCATCTTTAATGGGATAGTTCACCCAAAAATGAACAGTTAATGGTAGCCATTGACTTCCATATTTTTTTTTCATACTATGGAAGTCAATGGCTACCGTCAGCGGCTTGTTACAACATTCTTCAAAATATCTTCTTTTGTGTTCTACAGAAGAAAAAACTCGTACAGGTTTGGAACAACATGAGGGTGAATACATGATGAGAGAATTTTCTTATTAAAAAACAAAATTCTGCACCAATCAGAGTGCCACAATGAGCAAAATCACATTAAAATAAATCATTAGTTCCAGAAATCTTAGTCTCTCACTACGCTCTCAACTACTTAAATATTTTCATATATATGCACATTTTGCAATAAATATAAAATATCTTGTTTCTATATATAATACAGCATCTTTAATGGGATAGTTCACCCAAAAATGAACAGTTAATGGTAGCCATTGACTTTCATATTTTTTTTTCCATACTATGGAAGTAAATGGCTACCGTCAGCGGCTTGTTACAACATTCTTCAAAATATCTTCTTTTGTGTTCTACAGAAGAATAAACTCGTACAGGTTTGGAACAACATGAGGGTGAATACATGATGAGAGAATTTTCATTTTTGGATGAACTATCCCTTTAATTCAATAGTTTTATATATTTCTCTAGCATTTTTAATATATGTAATTTGCGTGCTGCATTGTAGTTCTTTCCTTCATTAAAGCCATAGTCTTGTACCTTTGTCTGATTTTCAAGTTTTCTGCTTCAAGTCAAAGTTTGCAACGTTGTGATTCACCTTGTAGCTGGTTAGTTTAGTGCTTATAACTCTTTAACAATGACTTTTTTTAAAACCCCCGTTGAAAAGGATGGCAAAAATACTTCCAGAACCAAGGTCGCTGAAAAGTGGACAGACACTGTTGCACTCTGTATAAAAGCAGTTCACGCAATTCGAGTCCTTTGAAGCATTTTGTTCGCTTTGTGTGAGGAACAGACTGAAAATCTAACCATTTGCCATAGTTAAACCTATCAAAAGGATTCTTGCGAACACTTGCAATATTGTACATAAGTCACACGGCTATATTTACAGTGCTATTATTGTTCTTTTTTGTCATATTTGAACGCAAATGATGACAGAATCGCCATTTTCACGTGAACTATTGCTTTAACTGAACAGATCCCAACACACCAACCCTGGCACTGATATCATGACTTTGAGACTCATCTGTCCTCATCTGTCAGAGTTTGCTGCATCAGCAGTGGTTAATGAACACTTCCCGGATGTAAATCTGACTCACACTAAAGTGAACCAAGTGAGACTGATTTACAAATGTTCTTCACTCTGTGCTGAGTCATCTGGACAGACCACACAGATGAACTGGAGCATATACTGTTTGAGCTGCAGTATGTAGAAGGCATTGTTCACCTCAGCTGTAATCGTGCATTGAAGGAGACACTCCTAAAGGTCGCCATTGTTACTGTGATGATTTATGCTTCAGAGGATACAGCTGAGTGCATCAGATAATGCTTGCATGGTTCAATTCACCGGTGTAATATTACAGGTGTTATTATGTGCTGCCTCATAATGGTTAGTGGGGAAATATAAAGCAGAATCTTCACAACAAACAGTTCAAGTCAAAGATATACCAGCATAGAGAACATTTGAAAGGTAGAAGTGTGAAAAAGTAAGGAGAACGTCATCCAGAGTTATGATTGCTACATCTGAACTAATCATTATGGAAATAAAGAGTGCCAGTTCTTTTGTAAGACTGTCCAATAAAGCACTGCATGTGTGAACAAGCTCTGAACTTATGAAAAGCTCCATGGTGTAATGATTTATAAATGATTTTATCAGAAGATAAAATTATTGATTGATGAGACAGTGTAATACAAAGAATCTAGTTTTGATGTAAACTGAATGATTGTGCTGTATTTCTTGGTTACTAAACAAGCAAGCAAACTAGTGACATTGATCATGTCACTCCTGTTACTCAAACAGATTTTCTTGCTTCCACTGAAGCTCAAGATGCTCTTTGGAACAACTGAAATCATGATCATCATGCCATAAATAATTCGTAATGAAAATGTTAGTATTAAGTTAGAAAAGAATGTAAAATACATGCATTTTCAATAGTGACCCCAGACTTTTGGACTCCACTGTGTACCATGGTACTGAATGATTATCATACTCACATACCATTAGCACAATAATGCAAGGGGGGGAAAAAGCACGCACACGGTATTATTCTGGATGTAACCATCATATACATTAGTGAGGGAGACACAATATTCAGAATAATTTTCAATGTCAGATTTCTCCACCCAATCTTGGTTCACATCCTTGGTATGTTTCTGTAATTTCTTCTTTTGTTGCTCTGGGACGACATACAGAGTTGTCACTTATCAGTTAACACTCCGTTACACTAGACATAAATTTAACACTTCAGGCATTATATTGCTCAATATTTACCTCATACGGTATATACACCAGTCACTAAGGGTAACTTAGAGAGAGAGTTATATAGACAGACAGACACACAGACACACACACACACACACAGGTGGATTTCACAATCATCTGCTCAGATCATGTAAGACAGAAATGCAGATGTAACAAAAGATCAGACTTACCCACGAGCACACACACGACATCCATCAGCACCATAAACAACTTGTTCTTCTTGAGCTCTGACATGACTGTTATCTGCTCGGCTCTTCTGGGGTTGATTGAAACTCAAGTGACTCGTGTGATAGTCGATGCGCGTGTTCTTCCGGGTGTCCTGTCACCTGCGTTAAGGTGCGCTGATGATGTATCGCGTCCGCACTCGCGCTGCTGAATTTCACGGACGCGGGTGAACTAGACGCGTGAGGAGCGTGAAGACTGAACCACTAACAGTTTGAACTGACTTTACTCGCCCAGGTACACGCCCACCGCTGACGTCATCTGTGTTCTAGCTCGCGCTCGCGCTCGCACTCTCTCTTTCATTTACACACACACACACACACACAATGTAGTTGAAGATATAACACAAGATTAACCCGTTCAGACTAGACTAGAATTATGCTACAAGCAAACACGAATGTGACAATATTTATGTTATTTCTAGCGTCAATGTATCCACAAATGATAATCACTTTTTAATTGTTACATCTGATGTCCATTATAATTTATATATTTTATATACTTTATAAGTTATTTCAAGAAAACTTTTTATAAATCAATATATTTTATAAAATGTAACAATAGTAATTGCAGTTTATTTAATACACTGACCTTTGTGACGGGGCAAGTTGTCACAATCAAAACTGCCATTGAACAGTTTATTATAGGCGAAATGTAAAGAGTAAAACAGTTATACATTAATTTAACAGAAAAATGATAAGTAACAATATTTTTGGCTATTTATAATGAATAAATGGTATAAAATATTTCAACTGCAACTTAAATCTGAAAAGCATCATTGTCCTGATAACAATCCAGCCTTTTACTTTCATTATGTAGTAAACCGTACACAATGTGTATGTATGTCAGTTGTGGTTTTATTGTGATCACTAGTTAAAACAACAGCTATAACAATAATGGGATGATATTTTAGTTTGTAGGACAAAATAAATTATTATGCCCTTTTATGAACCTTCTTCCCAAGGATGTTTTGTCAGGTTGTGCTATTGTTCTGTTGACATTAGGGACGTTAAATACAGAAATACCCAAAGTTAACAAATTTGTATACAAAAGAGAGATTTTTACATTCATTTCTCCATGCACAAAAGATCTCCACTGTCAAAGTGTCACAGCAGTCAAAGTGCAAAGAAAAATTACCTATGATCAATCACCCCACCCAAGAAATATCAGTAAATATAACCAAAGTCCAACACATGCTGGCATTTCAAAGCGCTCAATACAGGTATAACTATATATATATACATATTTTCTCAAATTAAGCAAGATATACAGTGTTTACTTTCAAATATCAACCTTTGTGACTTGAGATAACAATAACACAAGGTGATTTTCTGTTCACTTTATTAGACAAACAACAATAACATGTGCTTTATCAGAATATATACATACAGAGCCTTGAGTTTCTCAACATCACTACAGGAATGACAAATATTGTGCTAAGCATTAATCCATTCCTTTTTTGAGCCATATTCACAGGCTAACACATTCCCGATGGAATGGTGGAATGCAAGAAGCATGTTAACGGTCCGCAGGGCTCTGGCAGGTCAGTGGGAATATCCATCTATTGTCAACAATAGCACATTTCATCCACAATAAATATTGCTGCACCAGCTCTGGCACACGGCCGATCTGCACTCCTGCCGCCAAAGATCAACTCTCTGGAGCCGGATGTGTGTGTGACACTGCCCTGGCCCGTCTCTGTCCAAACAAAGAGGGACTTTATCGGGAATTCCAGTCGCAGGAAAGATGGACCAGCGGTGGTGAACTCTGGCCCAAAGCCATAGCGTTCCCAACAAAATGTTCCCGATGACGAGTGTCCCTCTCACTGTCCTTTCCTTTTCCACAGAATCTGGTTTATCTTCAGATACAGTTCACAAAAATAAACCTTTGACATTATTTTGGAACGGCATTGCTCAAATCTTTTCATTAGGAAATGAAACAATGTATATATAGTTCAGATCAGATGGGTTATGTTGTTTTTCACAGCTTTCCAGGTTACCAGTCTGTCTGATTCACAGACTAAAATAGCTTACATTCATTTGTAGACTGACAACACAAATGTGGTCATTTCACCAGACAAAATAAAAAAAAAAGACTGGATCTAACATTTCTAGAAAGGTTCCAGTTTTGTCTGGAATCTGTAGTTCTGTCTGATATCCAAAACCAGTTAGAATGGATTCTGTCTGATATTCAAAACCAGTTAAAATTTCATTTTGCCTGATATCCAAACCCAGTTAGAATTTAGTTTTTTCTGATATCCAAAAAGGCCAACAGAGGAAACTGGGACAGAGCAGAAAGCAGGAGATGACAGGTATAACGCAAGCAGCAGTGCTACATCAGAAATACACAATAAAAAAATAAATTAAAAAAACATTGAAAAACACAAAATCCAGTTCTTTAGTTAAACAGGTCTGTATAATTCCAAGCTGTGTCCATGATGTAACCAGGGGAATGTGTCTCGTCTGGGGCTTTGTCATTTATTGTGTCAACAGAAATGGGAGGGTTTAAGATGACTAATTATGCATTAAAAATGTAATATTAAACCAAATATCACAATATGAAAGTAACAACGTGGATACTTTTTTATTTTTCAAGCAGCATTTGCTAATAAAAAATTAGACAAGCTATATCATGCCACCAGTAAAATGGCACTGTTTTATCTCAGGAATAGCAAATATAGCCCAAGTTTCCATGCAACGAAAGCAAATTTTCCTACCCGGCACATTTTTTCCATGCATTTGGCAACTGGGTATCAGTGGTTAATGCACATTTAACTCGAGACCAGAGTGGTTTTGTGAGAGAGGTGTCACATGTGGAGATGACTAGCGGTCCTCATGCGGTGTCCTTGACCTAGACGAGATCTGACAGGAAGTGTTCAGATAAAAAGGCTGCTTGGAAAAAGTTCACAATTCATTTTCAAGTGTTGGGCAGAACAGCAATTGGATGCAATCTCTTGAACCTGCCCATGAAACCATTGTAAATCTAGTGCAACTATTATAATTAACTGCGACTGTCTACACTGGACACAGTTTACAGAGTAGGCAAGTTTCTGATTTTAATTGCACCCAGCTTAATGTACCAGCCTTATGCCATTCCAACTATCCCTGCACAAGATATCTGTCAATCAGAAAGCACACAGAGATGGTGGTTGATACGAGGGCTCATGTTTTGGTGGGCTGGAGAGAGTGGGACTGTGAAACCCCAGTGACGCAAAACTCGTTATTTACGAGCCGGTAGGAAATCCGGACTCTCATCCAGGTCAAGAGTCCTGTACGCGTCTACGGTCGTAATGACCGGCGCGTAGCTCTGGGACACGTGGATGTAGCCGCATAAATCTGCTTGACTACTTTTGTAGGTGAAGAGGGAATCAAACAAGAGATCATCAGATGAGGGCTGGGGATCTTCTTTATATCCAGCAGGAATGACTTGGTCTGGTTTGGTGTAGCTCTGGTTGAGGAAATGTGTGGGGAAAGCTTGAGCTGGTGTGAGTTTAGGGTCCAGGTATGTTATAGCAGAAGTGCTGTTGTAGGTCTTGGCTTCAGGCTCATTGCTGTCACGTGGAGTGTGGTAGGTGGACACCTGGACAGGGACGTAGTCTTTTTCACCACAATCCTGATAGATTGTAGTCTGACCCACAGAGATGAAGGAGCTCAAGGTGGACGAGGATGGTAGCTTATGCTGTTGAACATTGAAGAGAAAACTGAATGAAACTGATCTTGCTGTGGTTTATATATATACTGTATATATATATATATATATATATATATATACACATACACACAGGGGTGCACATAAGTGGTCCGCATGTGCGACCAAAATAAAATGCAGAAACACCATTTTAGATCGACTAACTGTAATACGGTATAAGATTCCCATTCGAACTGAAAGCATAAATCTAGGCTATGCGCTGCCAGTTTCAGAACAAAACGCAAAACTGTAACATTTCATGCACTGATGTGCCTCACTTTGCAGCGCTAAAACCGGCAGCTCATATACTTACTTGCCAGAAACCCGCCAAAATAAAAGCTTGCTGATTTTAAAATGGTTTGAAAATGTTGAAAATAGGGATGTAACGATTACCGGTTTGACGATAAATCATGATAAAATTCCGGACGGTTAGTATTACCGTTTCATATTTAAATTATCATTAAAACCGTATTAGATTACCGCGATTTGAACAACTCGCGATAAATAAATACTGTCCAGCATAAAGCACAGTTTTAAGTAACAGTCTCACGTGCGCACAGCATGCAGAGTAGTTTCGTTTCGAGTGAAAACAGGGCGGAAAAGCTGGGAGGTTTTAAAAGAGTACTAAGGGAATTTTACAAATGAATATATGAATGAATTAATTATATGAATGTACCTCTGAAGGTTCTGACAGTCTTCAGAAACAGTTCGATGGCATTTTGTTTTCATCTTCGCTCCATGTAATGCCTAATAAAGTAGTGTTTTTAATGCAGTGCTGCTTTGTTCACAGAGTTTACGGGAAACAGCTTTTCCATCAGCACCACCTGCTGTCAGTGAGTGGATTTACAGAGACTTATATTTAAACTTTTTCAAAGCTTTATTTGAACATTTACATTAGATATTTGAACATTGGTAATATTATTGTTTTAATGATTATGCAAACAAAAAGTCATTTTATTTGTTGTTTGTTGATTTTTAAATATAAAACTTGGTGAAGTGATTTATGTGTTGGTACTTTTTGAACATCTCCAGCACATTTGAACAAAACCGTGATAATACTGATAACAGTGATAATTTTGGTCACTATAATCGTGATAAGAAATTTTCATACCGTTACATCCCTAGTTGAAAATTCATATAAAAGAAAAAGAAAAAAGGAAAAAATAAAAAATTTAAATGTTAATATTAGCATTGTATTTTTTAAGTGTTCTATAAAATAATTGTATTTTTTATTACTCACTTTTTATTTTTAAATATAATAGTATTCACACTCTTTATTATTTTGTTTGTATATATATAGATATATATAGATACACACATACATATACATAACTATCCACACACAGTAATCTAAATAAAATGTAATATAATGACAATTCATAAAACACATTCATCTGAAATATAATGAATTATTATTATTATTATTGAATAAAAACTGTGATTGCGAATGAAAAAGAAAACGCCAGGCTTGCTGTGCTTATTTGCAGAGCTGCACAATCTGGCAAATTTTTTTTATTATATATCATACTTATAGTTAAACATAACTAAAACCATAGAACCAAA